ATACTTTTATGCCCCTATGCCTGCAAAGCACCTTGACATGACTTCATCCTTCACGCAATGTTTGCACATGTACACGAATGCAAGCATTTCGCCAACTGCACCTTACCACACTTGTTAATGGCTATTTCCCCAAACGCTACACATCGAAATACGGAATGGCTAATGACTATTTTACAAAACGTTACACATCGAAATTACGGAATGTCCCGAATGATTAGTTGAGTAAAAACAAAGAAAGGCGTAAAGCTAAAAACCAAAAAGCTAAACAAAAGAAAAACAAATTTGAACAATTGTTTTCGTCGTGATCACTTCCTAGAAAGGCGCGAACAGCGCGCGGTATCATTTGACTGACCAACGAATGCACAATTAGTAGTTGCTCAAAATTTTTTTTAAAAAAATTAATCCACAAACCTTCGCAAGTCATAAATCGAGCGCAACGAATCTCCGAGGGGAACACGTCGGACATGGCAATGGAGACGAATTCATCTAAACACCAGTATCGAATCACTCGATCAGCTCCGTATGTGGCTACCATACGTTGCGAAGGGTGAAATACAGCGCCGTGAGTCTAAAAACGATGGTCTGCCACTTCTACTGAAGTTAAGGAGAGAAACTTACAGACGAAGAAAATTGTTTTAGGCTGCATCTTTGTCGGATATCAAACAGCTGCAAAGTGGAGTCAGTCCCTACTCCAAGAATAACGTCATCAGGGCTTAACTGAAACGAAGAAGTAAGCGGTATATCGTCATCTAATTATGGGAAATATACCTCTACGCATCGCACAGGTCCCGTTGTTCTACCTTGCAAGATATTGGCCGGATGTGAGCGACTATCCCAGATTATCCAAGAGGAGTCAAGGGAACCAGATACCTAGAAAATTGATAACTGGAGTATGAAATAGTTGTAAGCATCAGCCTCAACTTTTCCCAACAAATCTCCGAAGTGCTTACATGCATTATGAAACGCTAATAGCATACACTCACATATACAACTAATGTGATGGAACTTCTGCTTAGAAAGGGTAATAAATATAAACAACTGTTGTTTTAAACATCTATATCCAGAAAAAAAAATGCAAGCGTAACTTACCCATGAGTATACACTACTCCATCGAGGTGCAATTGCTCGCACTGCTAATGAATGTCCAGAGAGATTTCGTATCTCACGGCCTGGCAACGGACAGTTTCATACTCCATTACACATTTGCAAAAAAAATGGACACAACCTCTCGTTAAGTCAATAAGTTTAATAAGGTCATTTGAACCAATTGCAATATTTCTTTCATCTGAGCTAAGACGTAAGCAATCTACGTGACCGTTGAATGAAACGCTGGGCACCTAAAACTGGATTTTAGTGGAAAACAAGGAAGATAACCTCCATTTCAACATACTTCACAATCGATACCCAGTAGAGAATGAGCAGTCAATGGATTAGCCACATAAACACAACGTGATCTTGCTGAGAGAACAGCATGAGTGGGAGGTGCGAACAAATTGGACGGCTCAACAATATCTGAAGAGAGATTTATCTGAAGTGACATGGCTATTCACAAGATTGTGACCAAATGATTATGACACCTGTAAAACAGCCTCAACGTTCAAT